GGATTAATCATCACATTAAGCAGTAAGATTGATGTGGTTTATTCGTACTAAGTTTTGAAGCATGAAACTGCGTATGGAATGCGTCACTTTATCCATTAAGCTGGAGAAGAAAAGTCGAAGGAGGGGAAGGGGTAGTATTTTTTTACCATGAAAGGCACTACTAGATGAAAAGTAAAAAGCTTGCATTATTTGCGAGTTGCAAAGCCTCAATGATTAGAGCGAATGTATATAAGCTGGCGGTAGGTATGTGCTTGGCAAAGGCTTAATTAGTATGCATAGCCCCTATGCGAATTCGCCGCGCCTAATTGTAGCATTCACAGCGTTGCCGAAATAATTGGCCGGATGGGCACACAACTGATGAATCCAATTAGATTCTGCTTTTTCTGCAGCTTCTGGCATGCGAAGGATAGATCTCAAACTTTTGCAACATCATTATTCTAGGTGAAAAAGAAAGTTGTCGTATATTTTGGAGCAAACGATTACTAACCAGGAACTATGGGCTTTTTATTGCAATAACGGAGCTTGCCAAAATAAACTATGTACTTCTTTTCCTTGAGTTCTAGCAACGGATTCTATGAAAAGCACATAGCTTTTGTCGAACGCTAAATTAATAGCCAATTTCTAGTAACCTTCTTCCGCTTTATACCTGAGGCATTAAGGTACTACTAATAAATTATTTCAATTATTTTACTATTTATTTTTCGTCTAAGTTGTTGTTTTGTTGTTGAGCCTGAGCAAACTAAATTATCTCACAGACACGCATGCTAATTCTTGTTTTGATTCTCCTGGAAAATTCAAAACCAAAAAATGATTCATGTTTCCGATAAAGTAGAACAGACCACTAAGCTCAAGTAAAAAGTTTGTCTTACATTGAAAGTTGATTAATGGCGCATGAAAGGGACATGATTCGTGACAACCGATATTAGAGGCTTGAAAAAAGGCCCTTCCAGAATCATAACTGCCTAATATCTAAAAGAGACCTCGTGATGATTAAATAACTGAAGTAGAGTTTTTGGGTAGCAGCGAAACGGGGAGAGAAAAATCTCAAATGATGGCTACAAAACTTCGAACATGGGCAGGTTACTTTCAACGATACCACTCATGGCTTGAATCATTATTAAGCCTCGATTTTATGAATATAGTACTCTAATGTCTCCATTTAATATTGAACACATGTCAAATCCTTGAAAATGATAATTGGTGAAGTTCAAGGATGCAAAAAGATCAGAAATTCATCGCGTTGACATTTTTCTCTTATGGAGGCTGATTAAACGGTACTTTAGATGTCATTTTTTGAGTTTTTCTTGTATTACATGGTTTTGATGTTCTCACAGGCTTTTATAGATGCAGATTCTGAGCAGAAATTATCTTTGATCATCGTATTCTACTGTATCTTGTGCTTTGCATGTCGGAGTTGCTCATATAGGAATAATTGTCATACATAAAAAGACCATGGAGCAGTCTAGTTTCTTATGAGATCAGTTTTTATTTTCAAACTTTTACTTTACTGATTCGATAACTTGAAGTGCGATTTTTACACGCTTTTTATACCAATAATGTAATTCTAAACTGAAAAAGTGAAAGACTAGGCATTTTGCGGGAGTCGAACTAACTAAGGAAGTCTGAAGATTGGATGTTCGATGGCAATTTCCCACTAGTAGCAAAGAAATTGACTTCTGCAGAAGACTTGCGCTCTTGTCTTGATTGACACTTAACGTTCATTAAACGACTGCACTCAGCTATCTCCTTCACGAGGCTAGAAAAACGAGATTCGAAGAAAAAAGGGAAAATACGCCGAGAAAGGCTTTTAGCGGAAATTTGATCAGCCATTTTGACGAAAGGATCCAAAAGGCTCAAAATTCTGTTTCAGACAATTTCCTTGAAAATTCACGGGTACCACAAACAGATTCAAATGTCCAACTAGTCCTAGTCCAAAGAGCAGCTATTCAAGGCAGGGCAAGGTGCTCTATTTGCAGCGGAAGCAATATCCAGTGAAGTGTGAAACTCACACCCACTCAATGAGTTTTCGGTTCAGATAAACACCGTCAACTTGGCTGGGGGAGGGGGGGGGGATCCAATTTTGTATCATGTTTTCATGGACGTTGGACGCTTTCAAGCAGACCAACTGAAAGAATAACTTGAAGGAAGTTGTGCTTTGTAATGCTGCAAAAAAATACTTGAAGTCAAGTCTTGAGTCTGTGGTGTGATTGCAGAAAAATTCAAACGTGAAACGTTTGATAAAAACTGATTGTTTTAAATTAGTCTGACTCCAAATGTCGCAAAACTCTGCAGTTGCGCAAGACATCGAGTTATACGCATTTATTATAGTTTACGAAAAAATAAATGCAGCAAAGATTAGAAATAACCAAGAATAAATAAAAGCAAATATTATGTCCCACTAGCTGGTTGTCCTGGTCTAGCCCGGGTCACGGCTTAGCTGATCTACTCCACTCTCTCCCCTCCCCTCCCCCCTCCCCTTCCCCCGCCTCCCTCCCCTTCTCACCTAGCCGTTAGGCCCCGGGCAAACTTCACGCGATTTGATCGTCGCGACTGAATCGCGAGGAGACAACTGTTACAACATCATTAAATGCAGATCAACTTGCATTCGGTTGTGATACTTTTCCAGACCGAAATTTTTGAATGTGAAATGAAAATGAATGGAAATCTTGGCGATTTGGTCGCGACGATTAAGTCGCGTGAAGTCTGACCGGGGCCTTATGCTGCGCTGCAAGGGGTTTCAGTATCAAAGTAACTTACCCGCTGTAGACTGTCTTGAATCACCGCACCATTCCTACTGCGAAAATCGAATGAACTCTACTGCTATTGATACGAAGTTGTGGAAATGAGTTGTTAGCCGATGTCAGGAACTCATTCTTATGCCAAAAATCAATAAATCAATAGAATGACCCAGCGAATCGCAGCAAAAAGTAGCGCTAAACCGCCTCCGCGGTCGATTACATAGCGTGCCAAGCAGGGCTCGGCACGAGCTGGCACCAGGGAAATTTCGAAGCGAAGTCCCGTTTGATCTTGTAAATTTTGTACGAAGTCCCCTTTGACCAGTTTTGAAAACAAGTCATAATTTTTGGATTCTGTAAAAGTATGTAGTAGGGTTTTCATGCATGCTGATTTCATGGAACCACTTTTCACAAATTTCTGAGCTTTTCATGTGGTTGAATCACATCTTGAGAAGCAGAAAAAGCCGATTTTTTGATTGCGGAGCAGACTGAGTAAATTTAAAATTGCTATAAAACGCTAGGAGTTCATCTTCTACACGTTCCTCGACTGGTCGGTCATTTTGACCGCTCTTCCCCACCCTACCGGACGTCGAACCCCTTGATCCAGGAAGCCCCGGAACAGCAGGATCAAGTATGTTCCACCCCAATAACGGCTGTTTACACATCGGAATTCAACGTGAGACGCCAGCCAAACGAATTCCAACTACAAGAACTGCAAGAAGTTCTGAAGAGAACACAACGCGATATACTGGCCCTAACGAGCTGGAGAGACGAATTTCAGAAGAAGCTTGGCAATTGCATTTGGCAAAGAGTAAGATCACTCGCGTTAAAAGATTGAATCAGTTTGTTTGGGTGCCGCATATTGTAATAATATGAAAGGCAAATAAATAGTAAATAGTAAATAAAACGCTGAAAAGAAAACATTACGAAAAAGTTTCTTCTCTGTATGTAAACTTTTACAGTATAGATACATTTTATGTAGTAAAGTATGAAGACTTATGTGAGCAAAGTGTCGGTGCCAGCTCAGCTGGCACCCAGCTGGCACGGTGCCAGCTAATTCAGAAAAAAGTTCGGCACAGCTTTCATTCACATAAGTTTTCATAAATGTTTGGGCTATAGTTCCGGTCCACCAACGCGCCTGCACACACCAAATTTGGTGTCATACTATTGGATTTTGGCTGGAAACGAGGCCTTTGTTTGTTGATGGACAGCATGCCGGCGGCATTCTTGCGGCAATTCTCCGCCGCGGACCCCTAAAAAACGATATCCCCTTTGCTTCCCGCCCTAAAAACGATATCCAGCTTGACCCGGTGCCAGCTGTGCCGAGCCCTGGTGCCAAGTTTCAGCTGGATCGATTTATTGGCGGGCGTTTCTATAACGAACGAACAAACGAACACACTTACAAAGTTTGAGTTTTTTAGATATATAGATAAGCCTTCTCATATTTGATTTTTCACTGCCATAAGCCATTTTTTGTAAAGTTCTCATGATAACCGGGATACCCGGACAGAACAAAGCAATTTCCACGAGACGACGTTCCAACATTCATACAAACTTTGATCCATATAAAGTTTGAATCCGAAATGTAAAAATATCCAAATGCGCAAATTGAAAAAAATCAACTCTTCGTCCAAAAAAAATTCTATGAAATCCTGACTTGTTCTAGTATAAAGGTATACTTTCTATATACTTTCCACATCGGACATTCATACATATAATTGCTGTACTTTTCTACCGCCAAAATAAAGAACATAAAAAATTGCATGTTTTCGAGAAAGTGAACTGTTCCTACATAGACAGAACTAGGTATGGTATGAACCTTAGTAATACAAATTTTCAGCCTTCTATGTGCCTTACTATTTGAGAAATAACGAATTTAGCATAAAAAACCCAGAAAAAATGACATTTACTGGGTTTTCTGATTTAGGCCTATTTTATTATAGTTTTTCGATATCTAGCCACGCAAAAATTCAGCCAATGTAAACATAAATGTCTGCTGTGGGGATTATATATTTGAGCAAGTTAAAGGTTCGTAAAATTTTTATGGGCTGATCCGATTATTCGGATATACTTGACCCGCATTCAAAAGTCAGTGACATACGGCCATAAATGAAAAGATAAAACACCTTGAATCAGTTGCCTCCGAAATTCTGTTTGATGATGGGATAGACAGGATGATGGAAGAGAATGAATGATTACTTTCTAGTAAAAAACTGAATTCAATATACCCAAGCAGCTAGTCCATCAATTTTCCTTTTCTTCCAGAGGATTGCCCGAATGGAAATGTGAAACACACGCAAAAGTGGAGAAGCCGAAGGTTTGCTGTGCAGATGCCAAATCCAGTGAACACTTCCACGACACTCCAGCATCTCATACGCATATGTATACTCGTAGCCCCACCACTTACCCGACCTACTCGGGCTACCAGGACCGCAATCAGAGCAGGGGAGTTATCCAGCGAATTGGTGACAGTGCGCATGAGATAGCTAGGGCTATGAAGCTCTATGCTCGAAGGGCTGGACGATTTCTGTTCAACGCAGGTTATCAAGTGGTCAGGGCGGTATATGTTATTCTGCTCTATCTCTGGGCTTTCCTAAAAATGTTTTTTACCACAAGTGTGCCTTCAAAAGCCCTTCCCGCAACGCCTAAACCTTACCAACCTCCCGCTACCCATACTGAACCTTCACAGTCGTTTAACAGCGTAGAATTCAAGCCTGAAGAGTTGACAGAAGCTTATGAAAAGGAACATTTGCAAGAAAAGCAGGAAGTTGAATCCAGACCTGTCCCCGATCGAGGCAGAGTGTGGGATGACCCTAAAGTCCGTTACACTCGTCCACCACAAGATCAAGGATCAAGATATGCCCATGAACCACCACGGGAAAGACGACCTCCACCTCGAACTGTTGCTGAACCACCATGGAGGGAGCCGGTTCCAGCACCACGTTCCATGCCCGAACCATCGCGGGAACAGGCACGACCTGAGCCTCAGAGACCAAAGGAAGAACCTACAAGACCTGAACCTGAACCCAGGCATATTCAACCTCAACCGCGTCACCTACTCGAACCAACGCAGGAGCAACCTGCACCAGGTTCGGCACCCCAGCCTCCGAGGGAACAACCTCCATCGGAATTTGCTCCCCCTCCACTACAGGAACGACCTGCACCACGTCCGGCACCCCAGCCTCCAAAGGAAGAACCTCCAATGGAGTATGCACCTTCACCACCACAGGAACGACCTGCATCACGTCCGGTACCCCAACCACAGGAACAAGCCCCACCGAGGTATGCGCCTGAACCACTGCAGGAACAAGCTTCGCAAAGATTTGCGCCTGAACAACCGCGGGAGCAACCTCCACCAAGATATGCTCCCGAACCACCTCGGGAACAGCCATCTACGAGATATGTTCCTCAGCCACCGCAAGAACCACCTACGCCAACGCCAGATGGACGTCAAACACCTGTAGCGATTCCGAGAATGTATACAGCACCACCGCCGCCCGAACGTCCCACATATGGACTGGACCCGGCTGCTTCGATCGCAGCACAGAAGTTCACCGATACGAGCCTAGATAAGGAGAAAAATGGCAGAGAATTCAGGTATTCAATTTTCGAGTTCGCTCTGGCAGTAACATTACCTATTAACACTAGTAAGCCGTTCAGCTAACCTAAAACCCTTTCCATTTCGCTTTTAGTCCTAACGTAGAAGAAATGCATGCAGCATCATATCCTCCACCTCCACCACCGCCTCCGCCACCAACTCCATACCCCAAAACTGTACGAATTGATAGTGGAAATGGCAGGGACGCCGGCGATCCATGGGACAATGAATCGTCATCGACCATGCGCGGTGGCGGTGGTGGCGGTGGTATAAACGATCGTGTTACGACACCAACGTTGAAGAAAGAAAAACCAGGAATTGGAAAGTTGCCAGCGGAAGTGATGGCCGAGTTACATGGTGAGATATTTCTGTATATAAAAAATAATGTAATGAGGCAATGAGGCAATGAGGCATCTACCGCACAGACTATAAGGGGTAGAAGACGTCTGTCGCCGACAGAATCTTCTCGCGCAGACATCTGCTCAGACAACTGACCGGCACTTCCGCAGAACGTTTGACAAAGTTCCGTCGGGTTATCTGCGGAGGTTCCGCAAATGTGCTGCGGAAATTCCGAAGAATGCGTACCACAACAGCAGAAGAGAGCACCTAAGCGAGATTCGAATCTTTCTAAGACTGCAAGACTCACTCACTACCCTCTGCACTAAAGACCATTTTCGACATTGCACTCAATTTGTTGGCGAGACAACATCGTAAGAGACAACACGTCCAAAAACCTGCGGAAGTATTGGCAGGTCAAACTGCTGCGAACCGCTGGCATTTTTCGGAAATTCCGCAGCGCTTTGTAAAAAGTCCTGCGGAAGTTCCCGTTTTCAAAATTACCATTTTTGCAGCAGTGAACAAAATCCTGCGGAACTGCTGCAAATTTTGCTTGTTCTGCGGAAGTATCTGAGTGATACAATTTGTGCATCTCAGCGCATTACAGCCCGTACCAGTTGCCCATGCACGCAAAAAGTGGTGAATAAAGTCTCCCACAATATATACATATTGCAGACTCTGTGATTAAAAAGTAGATAAAAACCACTCCCTCGTCACTCTCATTGTCTGCGTCTCCGCTGAACAGTTCGCCTTTCGCAACTAGCCTGCAGAGACGCAGAGGTACGCAATAACGTCTAGTCCGTGCGGCAAATGCCTCATATGGATTGCTTTACGAATTTTTCTCTGAAAATCAAGACTTTAGGGCTCAGAAATTGGTGAAATTGAGGTGCGCATTGATTTCTTTAAACACTCGACAACAACGGATTCCCCTTCACCCGATTTCTGCCATCGTCTCAATGACTAGATAATTTTCACCCTTGAAGACGTTCCAGGCACGCAAAGAATGCGTCAAGAACGAGAAGCGTCAATACAACGTGAGATGACACAAAGCTGTCATCCCGATATGGCTGCATGGAAAACAATCGACAATGATACGAGGTTACTTATGCTCACACTTTCTGTGTGGGACCAATAAACATTCTCTGACAACTCACAAGAGAAGGATATTTGGTCAAAGTGGCCTTTCAAGATGAGATGCACACTATCAGGATAAAATGTTGATTAAAGCCTGCCCTTCTTATCTGCAAAGCGTCTCTGGGCGCGAAATTAGGGTAGGGACTATATATCGCCAGAAGTGGGAGGTCCCTTCGGACATCTGCAACAAATACACACTCCATTACATGCACACATGCTGAATATCTGCTGCATTGCCCACGGAGGGATCATCCCACTTTCGGCGACATATAGTCCTCTACCCGCGAAATTATGAGGGTATTTCGGAGCAAAAAAATTGAATGCTCAATTACGATAAATTCAAAAATAACATTCTCCAGAGCGTAAGTGGAGCTGTGATAATAATCGCGACACTTTATGCAATAAATGCTCTAACTGTGAACATAAATTCGCTTATCGCAGTCCCATTTAAGCTAGGGGAAATTCTAACAACTAATTCTCCCCATGTTGCGCATTTGTTTTTTGCCCCGAAAAACGCTCATACATATAGGCCATCCACGGAGGGCGCGAAGATGCGCAACGTGTGTACTGCGCGTCACTCCTCTTTCCTCGTGCACTCTCGCTGCTTGGTTTCTCTGCGCCTCTTCCATCCATGAACTGTCTTCAATGGACGCAACAGGCTGCTCTCCGAGCACGGCGCGGACGGCCTATAACTTCGCGCCCAGAAATGCTCTGCAGATAAGAAAACCAGATTTAGATAGTGTACATCTCATCTTGGAAGGCCACTTCAACCAAACACCCTTTCCTTATCAGGTATGACCGTTCGGCTACAGCTACACCATTCCGAGCAAGTAGTGTTGGTCCAACAATGCGTAGATTGGAGCAAGTTGTGAGCAGATTGGAGGATACCAACGATAATGAGGCACAATATGTATTCAGGTCAGGACTAAGATATTGATCGATATGCAGTAATCAATAAAGTCAAAATAAATGTTGTGTCTTTCTGCAGAGCGAAACCCGACTATGTGCTAGGTACACCGGTCTTTACACCACTTGAAGAAGTAGAGCAAATGCGCGACAGTATCAATAGGTAAGAAAATTTATTTGGGGACTAGTTTTCGCCATAAGTGAAGTTAGGAAGCAAAAATTTACCTTTGTCTGAATGATCCATGAACTTGTCTACCTATTTGCTGAGACCTTCGAAAAATCGCCTTTTCTAACTCCCTCTACCCTTATTTCATTACGCTTATGGAATAGGCCAATTTTGATGAGAAATAATCTGAACGAGATTTTCTAGCATATCCACTGTTTGCAATGAGGTAACTGCCGTTTATCCTTACATACCGCCAATCGCGCCCAAACAGAGAATTCCCGCGCGAACGAGTGTGCACACTCTCCCAGCTCCGCACACTCTCTTGCCATTGTCTGACCGCCCATCGCTCTTACAGTTTGGTGTAAAGCGTCAAAATGTTATTTTCAAGCTGATTTTCAAAACCAGTGAATCTTTTGTGCTTTCTAAATTTTGTTATGCTCTAGACTCTTGATCCACTGGTCATCTTTTCATTCTCCACAACTTAAAAATTTCTCGTAATTCATATCTGTTCTGCTTATTTCATGGACAAACTTGCTTGCAGAGCTACGCCAGTGGCGCAAAACCCATATCTAAACTATTCGTAAGTTCATATACAGTCTTTCCGCTTTGCAATGAAGCAATGCTTTCCTTTAACTAAATCAAAAAAACTGCACTCACTGAGAAAATTGTACTTTTGGGGAAATAGAGACGTTGCTAAGCTGGCAGTCATTTAACTCCAAGCTTGCAGTCTAAAGCCTCATTTGGTGCATGACTTACGATTATGTTTCTTTACAAAGAATAACACGCGATTCTGCAAAGCAGCGATGTGCTGAAGTAAGACCTTTAAGTATGCTAATGTAGAGAAGGTAAACTGCATAATTATCAAATTGGAGAGACTGTTTTTTGCGTTTGGCTATTTTACTTGCTAGTGGTGGCAGTGTTTCATGTATTCGTTTGCATTCGTCTCTCATAACATAATATTGTAAAAATAGGTAAGAAAACGCCTCAGTCTAAGACCACCCAATGTCTTAGATAAGGTTTGTTGTAGAACATCCTCTGAGCAATTGATGAAAAATTGCACAAAAAAAGCGGATAACAACAGAATGGTAGCATGCAGACAAATCCCTCGGAATTCCGTCACATCCGCGCCGCAACCGCACATGGCTACATGTGGGTCGGAAAGAGAAGAGACGCGTTGACATGTGTATTTGTTGTTTGTAGAAGCAATGGGAATACTAAACAGAAGAAAAGCTTGTTAAGACCATGTGTGTAGCGTGATTCGGCAGGAAATCTAGGGAAACCATGTTAGATCCTGAAAATGATGAAAACGATGAACACGGCATAAAATTGTTGGATTCTGTGTCGAGAAGTGTCCATGCCACATTATCAAAAGCTTTTGGAGCCGGTATCCGCAGGCGTCATGGGTATATTTCCGCAGAATTTATTGTAGCATAGTCGTGCTAGCGCGCTCCAAAGCGACCCCACTGACCCACGGCGCCCAGTCGCCGCTACAAGCTGCCAAATCTCAGAAACGCTGGCTGCAATAGTTTCTACCAGCTCGTTTTTGTCTTGACAAATTCACAATGGTGGGAAATGGACGCTTCCCTAAAGTGGATAGGTATAGTGGTCAGGAAAGTGAAAGAAATGAAAGCGAAATTGACCATTTGTTCAAACGCTGATGCAAAACGAAACTCTAGCTGTAGGCGGAGCCTAAAGTGCTTTTTCTACTCAATGTGACTGCAATTAAGCCGGGTATGACCATCGAAAAAGTTCCGTATCAAACCAGCTGACGCTTACTAACTTTATTCATAGAACTACGCCAAAATACAATTCACTTATTTTTCTACGTTTGAGGTAATAACGATGACACTTTTGATGCCTAATTGTAGCTTGAACACGTGCTTTGCTATGAAATATAACACAAAATGATGCTTACCGCTTACCGACTTACGCAATGCTATGCTCGTAAATTAAAAGTCACGCTATTTAAAAAAGTTTAATCACAAAAGTTTCACAAAATTCACAAACAAAACTTTTTCAGAAGGCCAGCTTACGATTCACGACCGGTCACACCAGCAATGAGCATTCACAGTGGACGTTATACCCCATTCGGCCAAGAATCATCCTATGCCACTTATCCCTATAGGAGGTAAGCCTTACGCTACCGTACCGCTACAGTAACGCTACCGTAACGCAACAGGACACAAGGGTTGTTGCTGGCAAGCGCGAGCAGCAGCGGAGGAGCGGCGCGAATCTCGCGGAACATGAGGCATACAGTGACAATGATGATGGTCGCTCGCAGCCGCTTCGCGCCTGGTTAGCTTATATAGCCGACGCTTTCTTGCAGCACTGAGCTATAAACGCATGTCCACGTAAAGAAAACGAGGATTTGACGAGAGAGCTATTCCTAATGACTGATTTTGTCATAAAAGATTGAGATTTAGATTCTTGGCTTACAGAATCCACATTAGTACGATGTCTGGGATACGATAGTTACTTAATAAAAGGTCGACTGGCCTGCTTGGCATCAGAATTGTTATGTTAGCAGTATAAATTTGCATTCTATCGCCAAGTTGGCATACTGTAAAAGTATGGTAGATGTACAATAGCGGTCAAATATTCCGTATCCGTCCTATTGAAAAACTTAGCATGGGAGAAGAAATTGCACTGCTGCAGGGTCACAGGGAGCGCATGAATACGGTAGATGTACGGTAATGGCAACCGGTTCAGAATTTCACGGATTGTTGCGTGTGCCAATGCGGAATTCAAAGATGTTAGATTACTGTAAAAGTACGGTAGAAATACCATAGCAGTCAATGTCCCCTTCATCTGATTTGGGACTTAGTAAAAGGGGGCATACCCATGTGCTGATAAATATCGCATTTGTCTGGGGTGCCAACCTTTCTCAAGCCTTAGGTCTACGGTAAGCATACGGTAATTATGGATGGCCTCAAATAGATTAATGACCATGTTACGGATGTGAGTGGCTGTTTGAGACCTGTTATTTGGACCTTCTTTCTCTAGACTTAGAACTCGATTCCATCTAGCTTTGTACCCACAAAACAACAGTTGTGAGGGGTGACTTTGGAGTGCTTGTGCAAAGTGCTGATACGCCCTCGTTCTGCAAAACTATTTGTTCTCTAAGGTGAGGAAAGATTGAATCGAACTGATAGATGATTGGCACTGAGCTGCACTTCAGTGAGTAGCCTCAGTGCATCCATCCCCCACTTCTATTCATTTTCATTCTCGGTGCTCCTGTTCTTCACTTTTGACTCGCTCATCACAAATTTAGTCATTGGTATATTTTTAAACGTCTATTGATTAAACAATTCCTTATATGTACTCATCTTTTCATGATAGTGCAAATGCTTTCTGAGCTTTCAAAGTCAATTTAAACCCGTTTCATTAGATCCTGTTCAAAAAAGCATCACAGTAGAAACAAACTGTATCATTATAACAATTACTAGCTAATCTCGTCTCACAAAAAGTTTTGCGTCAGAAAAGTGCTAAAAATTGCTTTGCGAACTATTCTGTTCAATGTTCAATCTGACCAAAATAATGTGCTATTACCTACAAAAATATTGCACATAGTTTCTACATAATTCTGCGCTGATGTTCTATCAAAATTTCTTCTATTTATACTATTATTTATTGCTTATCCTAATGGCATTGTCATCAAATCCTTGAACCAAGGAACATATAAAGCTTTTTTCACGCGAGAACTAATCCTGCACTATATTTTGGCCTTTTACCCCTATTCTTGAGCCAGCTACAATAGAGCTGATTTGATTTTATGCAATCCATGGTTATGCTGATCTAAATTCCTAAGCAGCGCTCTTTGCAGGGGTCGAGGAGAGCTTGAAATTTGATCTGGGATAAACAAATGGAAAGCTTAGACGAAAATATCTTGAACTAATGTGTTGCGCATAGCAAAACATTTCAAATTTTTGTGAGGTGCGAGCATTATTGTAAGGTCAGGTTTTTTTGTCGCCAAAATTTCTTGTTCGCTCATTTGCCAAGTAAGAGAAAAGGCAGAGAATTGAACAATAGAAATAAAAGCAAAGGGAGTTATTGGAATGTGAAAATAGGAAAAATAGTCATCAGGAATGGATGAAATACAAGTATTAAAGCATAAGCTGTGGGATGACTCAGCCATCTATGAGCTATTGGAATAATAATTAATTTTTCTCAAAAAGTTCTATAATTTATGGATATACCTGCTAAAGTAGAGCATAACAAACTTGCAAAAGGCAACGCTTCCGTGCTTAGCTGTCAATCAAAAAAATAGAATTAATGTTTGCTACGAGAACCTTATGAGGAAAGTGATGCTAAGCGAATGGAACATGGCACCTTTTCGAAGCGAATAGCCGAGGCTAAAGGGACATGAACGTATGTAAGCCGGCGTCGGGTAATCCAATTTGTATAGGGGAAGGGGATTTATCAATACCTGTTATTGTTGCTGTGAGTATATGCGCTATAGGTACGTATGTTACGGAACATGACATCATAAGCAGCACAGGAGGAGGGGGGGGTACAAATCATCCGACCCGCCTTGTAAGTCCTCCGGTAAAATTCTAAGCACAGTCAGAATTTGTGGCAGTAAAAGCGCCGCCACGTTAGAACATAAAGGGCTGTACTGAAGTAAAATTATATGCTCAATAAATTTTAACATGGTAGCCATGGCAAAGTTTTTCTTTCGCCAGAAATGGAGGAGGGGCGTGGGAGTCACTCAAAGGAAGGTGGAGTTCAGGCACTAACAACGAAACCTCACTAAACTCGAATAAAGCCTTTAGTATTACTACACAGCTGCAAAAAGTATGCACAATAAAAGGAAATGAGAAGGAATTGAATAGAATTTGTATCTCCTTCTTGTAACTATCATCCCAGCTTACAATCACATATCATAAGGCGATTCATCGCGCGCGCAGACTGGGCGCTCTTGCGTCCGATCAAGATAGTTCGTGCATAGGAGAGACAGCAGACGGCAAGAGGGGAGAAAGAGAGCTGCGAGACGTGAAAGCGTCCGAAGTCACGCCCTATCTTTGCATGCAATGAATCGACTACACAATTTATACATTCATTCTAAGACTAGAAGATTCAAAGACGCTTTGCCTATGTTTAACAAATTAATACTTGTGCTCTAGTTCATTTTCAATGATGTAAAGGCTGTTGCATGAACGAAGGCGCCGCAAAAGCAGTGCTAGTTGAGCGGGCGCGAACGCGGCGCGCGCGTACCTTCACCGTTATAAATCCTGCGTCTTATGCTTCTGCGGCTGATAAAGCCGCATTCGCGTCCAAAGTTATTGCGCCTTCGTCATGCAGCAGCCCATAGCACCTGCAATCAGAAAATTAATAAGTTTGAGCTTGTCAAAAACTTGATGATGAGGGAATAATTTAGACCACCTATGAGGGAAAACTTGTAGAATTATCAATAAAAAAAAACAGTTTTGCAAAAAAGTTTCTAAAACACTCTAAAACTAGTTAGTTGTGAGAAGCTTTTGTATACGGTATCTACACAGCGGAAAATGGATACATTTTTGCAAACTGAGCAGATACAACTTTTGCTAATGTAATGACATTTTTCAGACACTGCGGAAATGCTTCGGTGGAACTTGTAGTAACAAACTTGAGCAGTGCTACGCGCTGTATAAGAGCAGATTGGCATTTTAACGTAGAGTAAAAAACACTTGAATGGATTTGAAGTATGCATTAACAACAGCTGTTCGATCGAATTTCAAATAGAGTACATAACATCGAGATATCATTGTACAAATTTATTGATTAACTTATTGAGTCAAGGCCAAAACTGTGCGCTTAGTTTTGTAATGGTTTTGTTTTGCTAACGCAGCGCTATAACAAGCAAAATGTTATCTACTATAGCATCTCAAGTTATATAGACTTTCTCCTGCTTCTCCAACAGCGCTTCAAGCTGTGCCCCATTATTTTACTTATAAGGGAACGATATTTGGTCGAAAGGCCTTTTTGGATGGGATGTACATCATATTAGAGAACATAAAACGCTGATTCCAAATCTGCCTTTCTTATCTGCGCAACATTTATGGAGGAGTTATGAGTTCTTATTAGAGCAGAAAAACATGTGCAAATAGGACAAAAAATGTCGTAGCCTTTTTTTCTAGCGCATTAATATAGCAATAATTATCATCAGAGCAACCTATACAGTAAGCACCCTCAGATAAAAGAATATATCACATTTCGTTGCTTTATATAAGGTCCAGAAAGAATTTAGCAGTTCATTTTACCTTAAATTCACATCTAGTTTTTGGTTCAATAAACGCTCATAACTCCTCGTCTACAAATGTTCCGCCAACAAGGAAGGCAAGTTTTGAACCAGTGTTTTATGCTTTTGAATGGTGAATGGTATATATCCTAAAAAAGCCACTTCGACTAAACATGCTTCCCTTGTTAGAACGGAGAGACAGCAAGATACGGAAGTTAAGAAAACTAACAGCATCGCTTTGGATTTTTCGTTGAGATAACAGTTGTGGTAGGAAGAATTGTATAAACGCATATGAATCTAGCTTGATATGGTGTATTTCTTTTCTCACAAAAAAAAACAAATGACCACTTCTTTGCTTTAAGATATCAAAAATTGGCTTCAAATCTGAAGACTATAGATGGGGAGAGGTAAAGAGCCGAAGTAAAGTCTTCAAAAGAAAGTTGTAAAAGTGTTTCCAAGATTATGAATTTTAATGTGAATCATTCTTGAGTGGCAGATTAGGAGTTCAGGATTTCACAATCAAATTTCACGTGAAGAAATAGTATGAGAAAAACTGTCTTTGTACGAATTTAAGCATTAGCTGCACTTTTTTAATTTTGCCATGTAAAAGCCATTGACAAGATATGAGAATGATTTTTGAAGGGCAGAACAAGTCGATTTTTGAAGTCAAGCTTTTCAATTTCCAAGGTTCAGCTATCGTTCATTCGTTGACCGTACGGACTGCCGACCGCGTGGCGACTGCGACGCGTGCCTTCTAAACTTGCGAAAAAGTGACAAGTTGGACCGTGGCTTAAGATGAGAAGAATTCTTTGTTTCCTTATAAAGATGAGAAGAATCCTCTGTTTTCTTTCTATTCATCTTTTCTACGAAAACATCATGCACGCGCAGCGGTCGCCGCGCGGTCAGCAGTC